GGATGAAAATGATCTAAAGCAAGTGTCAAACTGGCAATGAAAAATCAAGACTTGCTTGCAGTGAAATATGTATGGAATCATTTCTAGTCCAGCAATTGCAACTTTTGGTTTTTGTGTGTACTTTTTCTGTTCCTGACTGGCATGTGCCATTTTTCAACCAGTGGTAAGAAAAGTTACTTTGGAGGCAATAACTCCCCAAATCCCAGATTTTGGGGTCATTCTAGCTAGGATTCCCCCCCAAAAAGTAACTTTTCCAGTTAATGAAAAATTTCTGTTCTGGATGCTTCTGGAGCCTAGAACATCAAGCAATGGGATATTATCTACTTGATGGAATGATGCATACCAGTGTGGCATAGTGGTTTCAGTGTTAGACAACAGCTCTAGAGACCACAGTTTGATTGTCTTCCCAGCCATGAAACCCATTGGGTGACTTGGGAAAGTCACATGCTCTCAGCCTCAGGGGAAGGCAATGGCAAACCCCTCTGAACAAATCTTGCCAAGAAAATCCCATGATAGGGTTGCCTTAGGGTCCTATAAATCAGAAACCAAGGCACACCCACACACAGAGAGCTCTGCTACAGTCCCACTATGCTGTCACACTACCACTACTAGGAGAAGGAAGAGGGAAGAGGCCCCCTGTTGTACAGATACAATGATTGAATCTGTTATATGATTGTGCATTTGTGGTTTGGCAGAGGTACAAAGTCCTCTGTCCATATCTTTTTCAACTTAGAAGAATAGGAAGGACTTCTATGTTTTAAAATTTAGTGGGTAGGAGTGTATATCCAGGTGGGTTTAAAATGAGTATATTGCCATTGTTAATTGTGACACCTGAAATGTTCCTTCAGTCCCCAAATTTCTAGCATTGCAGAGAGTGAGATTTGAAAATAATTCATTCCAAGAACTCATATTTGCTGAGTTTAGATTCCTTTGGTAACATCACCTGCTTCTTTTCTTCTATACATGAGGAAAGAAAACTTTTGAAGCATTACAACAGTTGTACTCTTTACACATTTAAGTAAGGAGGTCTCTAGCATGGTGGGGATGACAAATCCAACCTTGATTTTAGTACTGCTTCTCCCACAGATGCTCTGAGTTGAGTGGGAACAGTTGCATGAGAAGCAGTGGTAAATGCTCTCCCTTTTAGTCTTATGTGGTTCTTGTAGTCTATTCAGGTGATTTGTACAGGGGGGGGGGACACAGAGAGAAAGGACTGCTTGAACTAGCCTTGATTTCAATGTCCACTTGGTAAGCTGGTATGTCTTTGGGGAGCTTCTACTAACATTCATTTCTACACATATTGAGGCCTCTGCATGATCAAAAGCATGAGCACTGAGAAACTGTGATGAGAAAAACCCTAGAGACTGGTGAGAATCTGCAGGTTTTGCATGTGAATGTTTTATATAGAAAATAACATTTTCAGTGCAGAAAATAATATTTCTGCAGAGAAATGTTATTTTTTTTCTTCACAGAAAATGTTATTTCCTGCACACAAAAAATGCTTTCTATGCTGAACAAATATATGTGATTTTTCCACAGAATAACTCCTCAATTGTAAATAATCTTCAAAACCTGTGCAGTTGTCAAAGACTTTTTCACAGTGCAAAGAAAATTGCTAAAATTACTTGTTGCTTCTTTTGGAAAGAAAATTAGTGAAGAATAATGAGCTTATCACACCACTACTAATAATGAGCTTATCATACCACTAAATAAAGTGTTTTTCCTGTCCTGAATTCAATCTTAATTCGGACTGCCTCTGGACTCTATCGCAGCAATTTTGCTGCTGAAACTGCCACCTGGGTCCAGCCTGGGTCCAGCCCTCGTCCCAGAAGTGTTGTGGTGGTGGCCATTTTTTTAAGTCAGAAAACTCCCAGTTTCAAAAAGAGGCACACTGAGCATCCCTGGGACCAGGGATGGACCTGGAATGGATACGGGTGGCAGTTTTAGTGGCAAAATTGTTGTGATAGGATCCAGATGCAGCCTGAAAAAAGATTGAATTCAGGACAGGTAAAATACTTTATTTTAGCAGTGCAATAAGCTCCTTATATATGTACTAATGTTCAAGGAAATGGCAGTAGAAGCCTGCTGCACAATTACCCAGTCAGTAACAAGTAGGAGAGAGTAGATCCACAGTATATTCAAGGGCATTGCATGTGTAGAAAGCACATTTGGGCAGATCTTTCTGACACAGATACTATGCTAATCCTGATGCTCCTCAAATACAAGTACATATGTAGTTGAGCTGCTTGTTTTTAATTAAGAAACTAAATGCAGTAGGAAAATCATTACTCTCTCCCTGTATTTTTATCTATAGGTGTGCCTCAGTGAGGAAAGCCTCTTGCAAAGAAGATCCTTTTCACAAAGGCTTTTTACTTCTATCTAGTCTCCCTTCCTCCTCATTCTTTGTCCTCCTGGAAGCTTTTAGCAGCACCACTAACATCAGGAAGATTGGAAAGGAAGGCTGGATAAATATAGACTTTGAGTGTTGTGTTACAACAATGCAATAAACAATGCAATATACAAAATTGGAGCTTGGGAAAAGTGGGATTCTGCTGTAGTTGATCCTAATGGAGTTCTATGTGGGCACAGTACACATCAGCTGACTCCAGAAACCCTTACCAAGCATACAGGAACAGCAAAAGACACAGCAAAGGAGATAGAATATAGGCTTGTCTTACCAGTTACCTCCAATATGTCAGACTGCTGAACTAGAAATCATATGAAAAGTAGAAACTACAGAAAGAGAATCATTCCTGGATGTGTTTTGGAAAAAGCCTTCAAGTGATCTCTAGAAGGTTCAAAATGTTGTTTACTTATGCAAGGCTTACCTGACCTAGTGTTTCACTTCACATACACGTTTTGATAGTCTCAAATAACAAGTTTGCTGAAACAGGTTGAACTGCTCTTCTTTCCTGTGGTTTAAGAAGCTATCCCTATTCCTTCCATGTAATTTCTACCTCTGGTATAAAAGCTTCTGTTAAAAAAATAATACTTTGATAAATGAGCTTTACCTGTATGAATTTGTATAAAAGTGCCAAAGCTGATAATATTCTCACACAAGATGAACATATTTGCCTAAGCTATTGCATCAAGAAACTTCAGGCATTAGGAAGGTGACTACTCACTCCAGCTGCTGCCACCCTGAAGAATTAATGCAGTTTGACATCACTATAACTGTCATGGATCAATGCTATGGTACCCTGGGATTTGTAGTTTATTGTGGCACCAGAGCTCTCTGACAAGCTAAATATCTCACAAAACTACACATCCTGGAGTTACATAACATTGAGCCATGGCAGTTAATGTGGTGTCAAACTGCATTAATTCTGCAGCGTAGATGCAGCCTCATTCTCTTTCCTTTGTTTTTTCATGAATATATAAATTGATAGCTTGTTCTATATGCCTTTCAGTATATGCATCTGTATAGGTTACATTTTAATGCTTTGTTTTTATTGAGAAGTAATAATTAGAAAAGGAAGACTAGCACAACAAGGAGATTATATCATGCCAAAATTGCTTTTAGGTATAGTTCTGTAAAGGAGGTGAGTCATGTTTTCACTGGCAAAAAAAAAAAAATTACAATATTTCTTTTTTTGTAGCTGCGTTATGTAAGTGCTTCTTATGAGGTGTGGCTGCTAAAGAAACATTGCAAAGATGGAATGCCCATTACGCCTCTGCGTGTTAGGCTTAATGTTCAGGTTTAGAGGGCTCCACGTGACAACAATAGAGAAATCAGCCCACAAGTCCTGCTGTATAATTACTTTAAAAATAAATACAATTAGACAGAACACAGCAAGAAACCTTGCTCTTTTCTGCAAAGCTCAGCAAAATGGCCTTCTTGTCCGCTCTGTAGTTGAGATGGCTACAGTTCTTCCCAGCTTCATTTTTTTATGCCTTTGGGATTGTCTTTATTTATTTATTTACTCTCAGTCTTCTTATGCCTTGACCTTTGGCCATTAAGAGACTAGTCAAGCATGTGCGGATGTATTTAATATCCCACATTTCTCTCAGTGCAAGACCCAAGGCAGCTTACAACATGAATTAAAACAAGACACTGTTTTAAAAAATATTGAAAAAAGAACTGCAACAAAACAGTTTTAAAACTTAAAAAAAACACATATAGGAAGAAGGGTAGAAGTACCACACTCTGCATTAAAAGGACAATAATTCAAGAGATATTTAATGGAGATGAACCATTTTTCATAGAAAGCTCTTTTGCCTTCCAGGGAAGGAAAACAGAGAAGGACCAATCTACTTTGTCATGGGAGAATATGCTATAGTCTGCAAGCAGCCACTAAAAAGACACTGAGAAGTTGTGTGCCTCCATATCATGAAAACTGCCCTCTGTTGACTTCAAACAGTTCAAGCTACTGCTAAAAAGCAATCTGGAATAGTTTGGGCTTTTTGTAGTTATGTTGCCAGGTTTTCAAAATAGCAAAAAGAGACAGATGAAATCCATGGCATGCAATGTTTAACAGGAGCTAAGCACCAAATGAAATTATTGATTACAGATAACTTATCCATGTATTTCTCTGTAAACTTGACATATTGTCCACATTCTTAGAGAGCCAGCATGGCGTAGTAGTATGAGCACTGGACTACAACTCTGGAGACCAGAGTTTGACTCCCCACTCTGCCATGGAAACCCTTGGGCTAGTCACACTCCCTAAACATCAGAGGAAAGCAAAAGCAAACCCCCTCAGAATAAATCTGGCCAAGAAAACCCTGTGATAAGTTCACTTTAGGGTCACCATAAGTCTGAAACAACTTGAAGGCACACAACAATCACATTCTTCAATTACATGGTCTACATACTTCTGTCTTTTTGAAGGGCTCACACCCTAAAATACAGGATTGTTTATTTATTTATAGCATCTCATTCAGTCTTTATAAAAGGAAAATCTATTGATTGGTCAAATATGGGACATCTCTTATAATAAGAGTCTAATAAGGGGCAAGCTTTCCAGACCTCACAAAGGACACCCCTTATAATAAGGCAAGCCAGCATGGTTTAGTGGTTTGAGTTTTGGACTATGACTCTGGAGGCCAGGGTTCAAATCCCTGTTCAGCCATGGAAACCCACTGGGTGGCACTGGGTACTCTCTCAACTTCAGAGGAAGGCAAAGGCAAACCCACTCTGAACAAATCTTCCCCCAAAAAAATAACCCCATGATGGATTTGTCTTAGGACAGATGCAACTTGAAGGCATATCACCGCAAAAACAATAACAAATGCAAGAAAATCCCACCCTATTGCTATTGGTGAAGGAAGTAGCAAAAGAAGAAGGTGAAGAGAAAGGATGACAAATTCAGATGCCTCTGTTAGTCCCCTGTCTGTGTAGGAGCCATTAAGCTCTGACTGAACTGAGTTCATGTGATAACAAGTAAACAGGATTAGGTATGTAGACATTATTCAGAAAGGCACACCTTCCTTGGGCATTGTTTCTAAATACTTACTGTGCTGGATTTTTTTTTCCTTCCTAAGAAAGCAAATTCTTCCAGAGAATGACTTCTTCATCCTTGCTAAGAAAGGCAAATTATTCCAGAAG